GGGCCGTGTTCCATCCGCTCACTGCCCCGTTTCTGTCCCCAGCGGAGGCCGCCCCGCTGGCCCGCCATGAAATTCCGGAGCCGCGGCCGCCGCAGCTCCTACGCCGAGGTGGAGGCGGCCAGCCAGGAGAAAGAGGGAATTGTGGAGGCCGAGCAGTGCTGAGCGCTTCTCCCGAGGAATCCCTCCCGAGGGATCCATCCCGAGGAATCCTGATAATCCTTCCCAAGGAATCCATCCTGAGGAATCCATCCTGAGGAATCCATCCTGAGGAATCCGTCCTGAGGAATCCTGATAATCCATCCCGAGGGATCCATCCCGAGGAATCCATCCCGAGGAATCCATCCCGAGGAATCCTGATAATCCATCCTGAGGAATCCATCCTGAGGAATCCGTCCTGAGGAATCCTGATAATCCATCCTGAGGAATCCATCCTGAGGAATCCTGATAATCCTTCCCGAGGGATCCATCCCGAGGAATCCTGATAATCCTTCCCGAGGAATCCCTCCCGAGGGATCCATCCCGAGGAATCCATCCCGAGGAATCCTGATAATCCTTCCCGAGGAATCCATCCTGAGGAATCCGTCCTGAGGAATCCATCCTGAGGAATCCTGATAGTCCTTCCCGAGGAATCCATCCTGAGGAATCCGTCCCGAGGGATCCATCCTGAGGAATCCTGATAATCCTTCCCGAGGAATCCATCCTGAGGAATCCGTCCCGAGGGATCCATCCTGAGGAATCCTGATAATCCTTCCCGAGGAATCCATCCTGAGGAATCTGTCCTGAGGAATCCTGATAATTCATCCCGAGGGATCCATCCCGAGGAATCCATCCCAAGGAATCCTAATAATCCATCCCGAGGAATCCATCCTGAGGAATCCTGATAATCCATCCCGAGGAATCCATCCTGAGGAATCCTGATAGTCCTTCCCGAGGAATCCATCCTGAAAATCCATCCCGAGGAATCCATCCTGAGGAATCTTGAGGAATCCATCCTGAGGAATCCATCCCAAGGAATCCCAAGGAATCCATCCCAAGGAATCCATCCCAAGGAATCCTGACAATCCATCCCAAGGAATCCATCCTGAGGAATCCCAAGGAATCCGCCCCGAGGAATCCAGAGGAATCCATCCCAAGGAATCCTGATAATCCTTCCCGAGGAATCCATCCCAAGGAATTCGTCCTAAGGAATCCACCTGAAGGAATTCATCCCATGGAATCCATCCTGAGGAATCCATCCCGAGGAATCCTGACAATCCATCCTGAGGAATCCATCTTGAGGAATCCCAAGGAATCCATCCTGAGAAATCCATCCTGAGGGATCCATCCCATGGAATCTATCCCGAGGAATCCTGACAATCCATCCCAAGGAATCCATCCCAAGGAATCCATCCCGAGGAATCCATCCCATGGAATCCAACCTGAGGAATCCATCCTGAGGAATCCCAGGGAATCCATCCTGAGGAATCCATCCCATGGAATCCATCCCGAGGAATGCTGACAATCCATCCCAAGGAATCCATCCTGAGGAATCCAGAGGAATCCATCCCAAGGAATCCATCCCATGGAATCCATCCTGAGGAATCCATCCCGAGGAATCCATCCTGAGGAATCCTGACAATCCATCCCGAGGAATCCATCCCATGGAATCCATCCCATGGAATCCATCCTGAGGAATCCATCCCATGGAATCCATCCCGAGGAATGCTGACAATCCATCCCAAGGAATCCAACCTGAGGAATCCATCCCGAGGAATCCATCCCGAGGAATCCTGATAATCCATCCTGAGGAATCCATCCTGAGGAATCCATCCCATGGAATCCATCCCGAGGAATCCTGACAATCCATCCCATGGAATCCATCCTGAGGAATCCATCCCGAGGAATCCATCCCAAAAATACTCCAGCTGAGCTGCGATCATGCCCCAAATTTGGAAGTTTTATTCCCAAATCCCTAAAAATTGGGTATTTTCCCCCAAAGTGGGGAGGAAAAAAAGGAAGAATTTATCTCCCAAATTTGATCTCCTTTGTCGTGGTGATGGATTAATGAGGGATTTTCTCTGGAATTCACTTTTTTCCAATGGTGAAATTTGGAATTATTAATTTAAATTATTTCGGGGTTGATTTTTCCTGGGTTTTTTGGGGTTTTTTGCAAGATTTTGAGT